TCTGGCGATGTTGGTGGCTGATTGGCTTTTGCAAAAGATTAGTGGGATATGATACATGGTCGCATTTCTCTAAATTAAGAGGGAAAAAAAGAAATTTCTTTCGCACTTGGAAAACTTCAGCGAGTGCTGGAGAAAGAATAACCTTGCAAGCGCCCACAAAATATGCAGTATAACCTCAATGTTTGTCCTTCTGTTGTCTCAATATTTTTGTCCTTGTGTTGTACCAATACTTATGTCCATAAAAGATGTCTCTGTCGGGTTCTGACCAAACCGAATCATGTTTTCAGATTCCAAAAATGCAGGCTCAGACAAAGCGCAATGACAAAAATATTTATGAAAGAAAACCACACAAAGTATAAACTGAAATCGCTGGTCACAAGGAGCCACGAAAAACAAGGCATGAAACAAAAAGTGCTTGCGAATGCCAGGTTCAAGAGAACGAAACAAAGAGGTATTATAAAATAAATATATACTTACAAACAAGGATCATGAACAAAATGAGAGCAACTATGAATTGTCCAGGCAGGTCTAGAAAATCGTTCTTGGAGCACAACAGTAAACAAGTTCAACAATGCTACAAGGACCAGGCAGCTTGTCAGTTCTTAAATACAGAGCCAGGCTTGATGGGGAAACGTGGAACAGGTGCGCCTGCTGGAGGGAAACGCCCCTCACTCCAGCTGGAGATGAACCACAATCAAGACAGAACATGACAGTCTCAACATGGCGCCCTGACATTTTCATCCACAAGATATCCAAACACAGACAGAATTAGCATCGCGCTTATTAGCAGACTTCCTAGCATCGTTTCCTGACCCTGCAAAAACAAACAACCCTCGCATAAACTCCCCCAAAAATAAAGATTTCATTTCAGAAAGCGCAAGTGCCTTACACAATTTTACAGTACTTAAGACAGCGTCATCTCCAGTGAAGTCAATCAACAGTCCATGACGTAGTCACATACTCAAGACTCGACTACCTACTGCATGGCCTAAAACATTTTCTCTGCCTGTAATTTCTTGTTAACGCACTGCTGATAAAGCTTTGATTATGCTTGGGAGTGGGCGTAATGTATAATAACGTTCAATTGGATTACCTTTGGTGAATTGTGTGAAAAAAAATTCAGGTGAGATGATGTCATGAAAGTCAGATTTGTTTCAGCAATCTATGAGGAAGCCTTTGCCGACGTTGATCACAAGCAAGTGCAGTTTTTTGACAGGATCTTTCGGTGGCAGAAAGGAAGAAAATAATAATTGCAACAATGATAGAAGTTACTTTTGGCTTCTCCCATTCAGGGGTCAGCACAGCGAGTCACTCGGATAATAATAAGAATAATGATCATTTGCATTTCATTTACAGTATATGTGACAAATTTGGAATTGTTTTTGGAAAAAAAAACATTTCTAGGAGGTGCCTGGTTTTGTATTGAAGTGACATCAAAGATGTCTTTAAAAGAGTTTTTCAAAAGAAGTTGAATTATATTCCAAAGTGGCCTCTAAATAGTTTAATTTATATTGTTAAAAAATATTTGCCTCAACCGGTACATCAGAAAAAAAAATGTCCTAAATTGGGGAGGATGGATGGGGACGAGGGACACCATAACGTCAAAAGTATTGGGACACGATGTGGTCAAATCTGTGGTGTCAAGAGCGGGCAGAAGTAGTGTGTTGGAAACTATATGGACAAAAAGTTTTGGACACAATTTTTTTGGGTAACTTTTTTTTTTGGGTGCGGGGCATTCAATTCAAGTTTCTTCTCTGCTCATCGCTGAGCGGGAGACGTGACGACAAGAGAAGACGACACTTTACAATGCAGACAGGTTGAAAAAAAATGTTCAGCGTGATTACCACTCAGTCATGATAAAATGAATTATTGTTTGCAATGACTTGAGGGAAGTAATAGAAGATGAAAATGGCGCCCGCGTGCACTCACGCACACGCCGCCTTAATCCCCTGTTAAGTGTGAGGTATTTTCTTCTGTTTCTGTCAGCACTTTGAACAGCAGCCACATATCCATTTGCGTCATTGTGTTGTACAATTACACTGAAAAATGCTTGAGTGCTTTTTCTCGTTGGTGTGTTTCATTTATTTATTATTTGAACATGGAGGCATTTAAATCTAACTTTCAAAGAATAAAACTGTGTATTTTCCAAAGGATTCTTCTCATAAATATTATAATTGTCCAGCGATAGAAGTGAGGAAGAAAAGTGACTTTTCTACTTTGCCAGTCACCGCCGGAGGCCTTAAGTTGTGTGCAAGCTGAGCCTGGGAGATAATAAGGGAACATCTGAGCAGTATCTTCATCGCCGTAAAGGCTTGACAAGCTCAGTGTAAAACATGCAGATTTAGCAGCGGCCGTTCCATGCGAGGAATAATAATGGCGGTGCCTTGTTGGCACACTCACACACTAAGGACATGGCGACAAAAATACTAGTTTAACTACCGGTAATTCTTTTCATTTTGGCATGTTTTTTTTTTTCTTTATAGATATTCGATTTGCATTTTGACCTCTCATTTACTTGCAACAAATGTTTTAGGTCAACAAAATTGTGATTTCAGTGAGCTTAATTAGATCAGTTTTAGGTTTTGTTTGGTTAGTGTGTCAGTCCAACAGTTGAATTAAATTGAAGGCACTAAATCAGGAAAGGGCAGCCCGGTGGTTGACTGGTTAGCGCGTCGGCCTCACAGTGCAGAGATGAAGGATTCGATTCCTGCTCCGGCCCTCCTGTGAGGAGTATGGATGTTCTCCCTGTGGATACGTGGGTTTTCTCCGGGTACTCCTGTTTCCTCCCACATTCCAAAGACATGCGTGGCAGGTCAATGGAACACTCAAAATTGTCCTTCGGTGTGACTGTGAGCGCGGATGGTTTTTGGTCTATAAATGGTCTGCGATGGGCTGACAACCAGTTCGGGGTGTACCCCGCCTACTGCCCAGAAACAGTTGGGATAGGCTCCGGCATATTGTGGGGACAAACAGATCAGAAAATGAATGGATAAATCAGGGGAACATCAAAAAGGATGGACAGAGCCAAGATTATAAATCTTAGAACTGTCAGGCAGAATTGCAAACCACGACTGTACTGCCAATATTAACATGCTACTTTGAAAAAAAAAAAAGACTTAACTTGTACCTGATCACCTGTGGGATGCTTTTTGACCCTGGACTGGGAAGAAATAATAGCGAACGTGCGCACATGTGCATGAGTCAGCTGTACATTGTGACTCACTGGGGACAATGTGTCAAAGTGGAGATGTGGTGGACAGAAGATGCCGGTTAAGCTTGCAGGTAATCAAAGTAGTGTCAATATGTGCACCAACACGTGTTATCTGTAAAATAAATGAAGCGGTGAATCGCAGTGCCATCTGTAAGAGATAAGACCAAGAGGTGCTGGACTTCCATCCCCTTTCCTTTTTTTTTTTTCTTTTACGGTTGTTATCGCCAGCAAAGGTGAGGATGAGTGCAGTATCTATCTTGAAAACGATCATCTCAAGAGGCCACCTGACATCTACTTGCGAAGATGGCAGTGGGCTCCAGGCACTTATAATTATCTTCACATTTCCATGTTACGGCGGACGATCTCTCCGGTGGAACATGATTCATTTCAGACGACACAGTATTATGCCTTTTATTTGTTCTTTTTTTAAACAGTTTAACAATGTAAATTAATAATATATCTGTCACGGGATTTTTGCAAAATAGACCAAGAATAGGCTCTGGGGAAGTTCAAGTGACTACCACTGACTTAAACTGAAAAGGAGGTCAAAAACTTGCTAGGTTTGCGGTTGCACCAATAGAGAGACATTAATAGATATGTTTTTTCTATTCTTATATTTCCTTCCAAAAAGGTTGAATTATGCACCTGTTGGTGAGGAAGCCAATCCGAGTTGATGTTGCAAATAGCAGATGTGGTCGACTAGAAAGTCCCATTTGTGCAAATTACAAGTAAGTTAAGTCTCAAGCAGGGGCGTGATGGCGTGATTTTGTTTTCTCAATAGATCAGTCTTGCTCAAATGACATGTTAATGTTTGTTAGTCGTCACTAACGGGACTATGACCCCTTCCAAAACAGCTGATGTTCGCTCCTCTGTGTCCAGACTTCAAATGAATTGCGCTAACACAAAGCTACCATCAGCTAAATAAATGTTCTAATGTTATATAGGTTGAGTCTACTCTGGGAGAAATGTTACTGATCATTTTCAGCAACATTTACCACAACATTACATGACATTTTCAGCCAGTATTCTGCTTTGTGATCGTGACTCGGAAAAAGGAAAACGACATGGGGTTTGGGACAAAATACATGGTGCTCGCAAAACACTCCTTCAGAAAAGCCATTATGAAGATCTGTCACATTGGTATGTCGTCAGTAGGGTTACAATGTGCAATCTTAACTATTTTAATCAAACATACAGCAAGAATGTGATTTAAAATTCTTGTCCCGGTTGGTTGATGGAGAGTTCTTACAGAAACAGCATGACTCAAGAATCGCCACTTCGACCCCTTCCCTGAGCATGGGGGGAGGGCAGCAAGGTGGGGGTTCGGCAGTAAAACAGGCCAAAATCCACGTCAGGCTGTGAGGCAGCGCAAGAGACTTATTGCATATTAGGTTTGGTTTAACTAAATGTTGGAGTATACAAATCAGTCTTAAGTCGAGTTGTTCATTAATCAATATTTAAGTTTTTTTTTTTTTTTTTACTTTACGATTTGAACTTTAATATACATTTGAGGCTTGAACCCCCCTCCCCCGAAACATTGCCAAGACTCCACACGACAATAAAAAAAGCATGTGTTTCGTGTTGTTAGAGTGGTACAAACTTATTTTCAGGCTTATTAGGCATCTGATGAAGTGGAAAAAAAACAAACAGCGGACAGCTCCACTATTCCGGCGACGCTTTGTAAAAAAAATAAAAAACTACTAATAATGAATGCAGTGCTCTCCATGAGAAAAAACTGCTTCAATTAACAACCTGTCATTATTTTTATAGATGTTTTTTTTTTTTTTTTTTTGTTAGAAGTTACTTGATGAACAGCGAGGTCAGAAACAGCGGATGGGTTGGAACCATATCAACTGTAGCCTGCCTGGCTCAAGGCCAGGGTGCATCCCCAGCGGCTCGGCAGCTAATTAGCACATTATTCATGCAGCAGACGCAACAATGGGCGCTCCTGTATTCAAAAAATACAAAAAATAATGCTCACTTTTGAGGTGAGAGGTGTATGTGGCACACATAATTTGAAGGAATCAGTACGATAACCTGCACGCAATTTTGATGCAGTTTCACACAGTCGCGCGTGTGCATGTTCTTCAACATTCACAATTGAGTGAGTAGGTGTTGAAATGAAGTGCTCACCTTGATACAAATTGGAACGGGAGGACAGCAGGAAGGGGTGGGGACTGAGAGGACGGCCGGAATCTAGGCCACATGAAATATTAAAATTCTTCCCGGGAAGTCCTGATCATCATGTGTTGCTTTCATCTCACTTATTTGGTACGAGGACGTGAGACGCTTCCTTCGGCGGCGCTGCGCCCCAACGGCGCTCGACTTCATTCGTATTCCTGGAGAAGAACCAAAAGCAGAAAAAAAAAAAGAAAACGAGACTTTTTTAATCCTCTGAGAAGTATTTGGCACCATTAAGCGTTTGGCCCGCTCCGTGATCTCTCAGCCACCCACTCGCTGGCTTCATGTAATTTTAATTTCTGCGGCAAATGACTTTCAAGTCATGCAAGAAACAGAAGCATTTTTAATACAAAGTCATCTGGGAGACTGCCATGATTCCAGGAAGGCCATTAACTACAATGATGTTATGATAGCCGAGTCTTCAATGTGACTGCATCACAGTTCATCGTTCGTGCTCCGACTATATCGGAGATTTTTGAGCCATCGTTTATTTTATCCTTTTTTTTAATAATATTCAATTGAATTCATTTCCATTATTTGTGTCGCAAAGAGCAAAAATGCGCGAGTAATTCACGCCCACGCAAAAAAAAAAAAAGGTCCATAATTGCGAAGTGATGCCACAAGATGGCTGCAAAACACTTTTTGGAATAGCTCTTCGAAAAAATATATCTTCATTCTCGTAAAACTTCAATACCACAAAAAGTGTACTTTTTGTCTTGAAAAAGTCAACTTTAAGATCATGACATTGAGAATTTTTCTCTCGAAAATCCAACTTCTTTTTTTTTCAACAAAAAGTATGACTTTATCCGCCTATACCTTTTTTTTCTCGACAATCCACTCTAAAATGTTTTGCACATAGATTAAAAGATACATTTAAAAAATCACCTGAATAAATGCTTAAAAACAAAACGTCTCAAAGATTAATTGCAAATGTATTGAACTTAAAGTTGTATACAATCGTACTGTGATTCTTTTGCATAACACTAGCGAGGGCAAGTATGGATTTTATGGATTGCTGAGCTACAGTGCTGTGAAATAGTATTTGGCCCTTCCTGATTTTGGTGGGGGTTTTTTTTGCATCTGTATCACAAACAAAGGTTTCAGTTCATCAAACCAATTTAATATCACACAGAGACTACCCAAGAAAACCCCTCCCTCTGTGAAAAAATAACACACCGACTTTTTTAATCACAAAGTAACTGTGACTAATGACATTTTTGGGGAAAGCTGAGTTTAGTTTCACAAGCAAGACCCAAGCAACACTTTTGTTGAATTAAAAAAAAAAAAAACAAAAAAAAAAAAACATTTTTTTCCTTGGGTTGTCTCTGTGCGATATTAAAAATCGGTTTGATGAACTGAAATCTTTGTGTGTGATAAATATGCAAAGAACATAGAAATCAGGAAGGGGGCAAATGCATTTTCACGGCGCTGTACAGTGTAGACCAGGGGTCCCCAACCGCCGGTCCGCGGACCGGTACCGGTCCGCAGGGCATTTGGTACCGGGCCGCACAGAAAGAACTTGCCTTAATTCCGTTTTATTTATTTCGGAATACGAAAGATGTTTTATTTTGAAAAATTACCGGATTCTCCGTTACATCCGTCTGTGTCACGCTTGACACACGTCAAGCCGCGCTTCTTCGTCACGTGACCGATTACGCTAAAAACAAAACGCTAGAGCTCGCAAAATGAGTAATAAAACTGCTGGAGAGCGCAAATGACGGCGGCCTTAAAAGTACGTTCGAGACAACTGGATTAAAGTTATGGCTGAATATTCTGAGATCGCCACAGTAGCACTGTTGCTATTTCCGACATGCTACCTGTGTGAGGAGGGGGTTTTCTGCAGCAACGGCGACTAAAACAAAATTACGAAGTAGACTTGACCTAAAACACACACTTGAGGTGTCATTGTCTCCTATTACCCCGAGATGGGACCGTCTGGTTGCAGAAAATCAAGCTCGGGGCTGTGGTGAGTCGTCATTTTCATGCACTTTGAATTTGCATTGTGTCGTATTTTGAAGGCATTAAACATTACCATAGCGATCAGAGTGTTGCGACCAGATTAGACGCTCCTTGTGTTTATTATTATATTTCGAAAACACCACAGTTTTCATGCAGCTCATACCATATTAGTTTGTTGTATTATTTCCGCCACACCTTAAATGCCGGTCCCTGAAAATATTGTCTGACATAAACCGGTCCGTGGGGCAAAAAAGGTTGGGGACCCCTGGTGTAGACGATGCCAGGGAGACTCGAGTATTGCTTGACTTGCATGTGCTTCAATTGGCTCATTTCTTTTGCTTTACGTTGCAGTTTAGATGCATGCATATTTTTAGCAGCCTATGCCATTTTCTCAACAGAATATTTGACATGGTCCACAGCAAATTTTTCTTCAATATCAAAATACTTTGGCATACTTTGACTTTGTCATATTAGGAAATGTACAAGGAAATAGACTTTCAAAAAAAAAAAAACGTACACTGCTGTATAAATCCAGCCAAAGTATGTCAAGGTTTGTTTGTTCGGGACAAAAAGGAGAATAAAAGATCGTTGCCTCATGAGGCCAAGCAGTTTCCTAAACACATTGGCGGCGTTTTTCTCGAGTGGCTCGGCAGCATCTGTTTTTACATGCATGCGTGTGTGTGTGTGTGTGTGTGTGTGTGTGTGTGTGGGTGTGGGTGTGGGTGCATATGACTGTGTGGAATAAAATGTGTCTATTATGTTTGTGTGTGTCTACATGTTGTTGATGATATTGTCACCACTGCTAGCACTTTTGGGATACGTCCTAGTCTCTTTAGGCAAAAGAGGGTTATGATAAATCTTTTCTTCCCTCACACTCACACATACACATATATCCGCACACACATGCACATACAGTACTTGGCTCAGGCGACTAGCGTGGCATGAAGCAGTGTGGAACTAAGCATATCCTGTCAGACAATCCTACTTGATGCCGCAGACCTGGCCGGCCTTCCTTCATGCTCCATATGCCGCTTCCTCATCTTTGGAGGATGACGACCAGAGAGCCGTTGCACGTACAAAACGCACACTGTTATCACCGTTCACGTTCAAGGTCAATACTGCCTAATCGGGGATTGGCCTTTTTTGATTTTTTTTTTCTTTTTCCTTCAAAGTGAGCAAGCACTCCAAAAAGGCCCTTGCAGTGTTGCCAGCTTTTCTCAGGAGCTGTTGCTCATCACGAATGTATTTAAAATGAAATTTATGATATTAAAAAAAAGAGAAAACATACTTAATTTTCTCATTCAAACATATTGCACTTAAATGAATATATTACTTAATTGGGCTTTTTTTAATTCAGTTTTTTTTCAGTGAGTTTCTCCTCAAAAGAGCTAACTTTTTAAAAAAAAACGAAATATATATGACCTTATGGTCAGAATATTATTACTTTCTTCTAAAAACAATAATAATAATATTTACTGTACATCCTTGCAATATTCTGTTGTTTTCTCAAAATAGTTTGTTTAAAAAAAGGCAACATAAAAATAAAACGTTTTTGTCATACTACTCCTTTTATGATTTTACTCTCATATTTAATATATTACATATTACATATATAATATTTACTTTGCCTCTGTTTTAAAAGACTTCAAATCATGATAAGAAGCTTTTTTATAAAGTTTGTGTATGTGTGTGAGAAAATACAAATTAATTATAACATTAGTTTCATGTTGAATTTAGCCTGCTCGCTGATTCTGCTGTAGTTCATCTGCGGGGGTGTACCCAAAAATACCCCCCTGTGATGCCGCCACTGATACACGTGAGTAATTGCCATTTACTTGCCCTAAGTGGATGTGTCGCGTTGACTTTAGCCTGCTGTCTAATCCCATTCCCTTCCTATCAGGGTTCCCAAGTCATGTCGCCATTTCCTTTGGCCCGCTTGCCTGTGACACCACACATTATTACGTGCGTGTGTGCGTATATATGTGTGTGTGTGTGTGTGTGTGTGTGTGTGTGTGTGTGTGTGTGTGTGTGTGTGTGTGTGTGTGTGTGTGTGTGTGTGTGCGCACGCATGTGCGCACGCGCGTTTTCATGCCTTCATATAATTTCTACTCACATCCTTCATTTCCTTGTCAGGGATCATTAATGTCCCCATCTTGCCGTCTATCTCCATTAATGTGCCATAAAAACAAAGGCACAGCAGCCTCTATTGGTACTCGCTCATCCATGCCGAGCTGCTGATGGGTGGCGTCGCCATTTGGAACGTCACCACCACCACGTGAAGACCAAGTTGCTTGGGTTATCTCCTTTCTTTTCTGACCTCTCCTTGTTCGCGAGCATGCCGAGCGGAAAATTTCATTACATCTGTCAACAGTGACTAAAATCAGCGTATATTTACATTAATATTACAGTGGTATGATTTATATGGTGGTTGACTGGTTAGCGCGTCTGCCTCCCAGTGTAGAAGTGCAGGGTTCGATTCTGGCTCCGGCCTTCCTGTGTGGAGTTTGCATGTTCTCCTTGTGCCTGCATGTTTTTTTTCTGGGTACTCTGGTTTCCTCCCACGTTCCAAAAACACGCCTGGCAGGTTAACGGACCACTTTAAACTGTCCCAATGTGTGATTGTGAGCAAAAATGTTTAGTGGTCTCTGTGTGCCCTGCGATTGGCTGGGAACTGGTTCAGGTTGACCCCCACCTCCTGCCCGAAGATAGTTGGGACAGGCTCCAGCACGCCCCGCAACCCTTGTGAGGTTAAGCGGATCAGAAAATGGATGGATGGATGATTTATGTGGCAGCTAAATTCACTTTATTTCTATCGTAGGTAGTGTGTAAAAAAAAAAAAAAAAAAAAATTGTCCCGCTTCGTAATGCCGAAGATTTAACCAAGCGTCCTTGCTTCTGATGTCTTTTGAGACCTTCACAGAGAATAAAATCTAAATATGTGAGCCTGTAACATTCATGTCGCATCAGAGGGAGGAAAAATAGTGAGGTAGACAGTATGTCAACCTTGACATCCATCAGCCGTTTCCATAAAACAGTCATTTTTATTTTTATTGCATAACATTCACTTTATTACTCTTGCAAAGACAGACCACTTACAGCAATTACGGTGGTCCTGGTAACACTCAGCGTCTGTGCGAGGGAGATTATTGGAGAGGGAGGTGGGAGGAGTCACGATGTCCGCATTGGCGTGTGGTGTCCAGTGGATGAGGCAGTTTGTCATTTGGATTTATCGTTTTGTATACTGTACTTGTTTTATTTGTATGTGTTAAAAGGTCCCCCCTTCAAAAATGAGATGATACATCTCAAGGGGCTGGCATTGAAATCAATCACTAAATTAGCCGATTTGAAAACGAACACCAACAACACTTGATTCGTGTCGATTTCAAGCGTGAAACTCATCGATAATTCAGTTCATTCCCCAAGCTCTCATGTCACTTTTAAGATTTGTGATTGATTTCAAACAAAAGTAAAGTTGTTCTTCATCATTTTTTTTTTTTACAATCCTGATTTAAATCCCAAACATGTGAAACAAAAATTAGGACACGGTTACTGAATCCGTTGATCCAACTCTTTCTCCTTTAGGCAGATAATATGAGTACAGTCAATGTCAGGATACATGCGTGTGCAAAATGACGGTGGAAATTAAAATGCCACGGTCAATTCGTTCATGCCTTATGTCTTTTTCTGGAGCTTCACATTTAAACGCTTGACATTTGTCCCACACGCCTTTAATCAAACCGCTCACCGCTTCGTTCAGTGTTGAACAAGACACCAGCTTTTTCTCAGATAGGGTTATTTGTTTACTCAATTGCAGATTACGGGGCATCTACATGAGATAACAAGTCCTTTGATGGACAGAGAGTTGTTACTTCCGTTGCTTGTTTTACTGACTGTATGTACCCATCTAAGTTGGCAATTATTTGCTCTCCCAGTGTTTTGTTTTTCCACTCACGTCGCTTGTTCTTTCAATGGCAACCACGTCTCTCCCAACATTCCGGCCTGGTCATTTTCCCGGTGAACCGCAAGTTCTGCCTTAACACGTTTGCCTGTCCCCGTGGCTGTCTGTTATTTTCTTATGACAACTATGTGCGAGTTTCCCCTTCCTGCAATCTGTGGATTTCCAATCTTCAAACGCTCCTTGTCTTTATTGCTACTCACCTGTTTGTTGCCGAACTTGTCAATGTTGTTATTAAAAGTCAATTCCGCCTATTCCTCTGGTCCGGTGTACTGCATTTAGGTTATACACACGCCAGTGTCAGCATTACTTAAGATACACGGTAGATGTAGCACAGTTTAGGAAGACGAGCAAACTGGTTTAGTTTAAGATCAATGAAATATGCCCAAAAAAAATCTATGGCCTGGAAGTCACCCAAAACAACAACAACAACAACAACAACAAAAAAGCATTTAATGTATTTAAGGTAAATAATCTTGGCTTGGTGTTATTTTGTGACAGGGCAAAAATGATCGAAATGTGAAATCTTGGAACATTAAAATTTAAGAAAATGTTTTAACACTCAAATGTATTTACAAATTAAAATAAATGAAATGGTGTGACAATTTTTCAGTAGAGGTTTAAAAGTGTAATATTGTGTAAGCAGTCAACTTTTTTTCACTTTTCACTTCATTAAAATCATTCAAATCCTTTATTATTTATTACAACTTTATTATTTATTATTAGTAGTGGTAGTATTAGTATTAACAGTAGCAGTAGTAGTGGTGGTATCATTATCACACTTCTTGATACACATACATAACAGTTTAATTTTTTTCTCCAGATATGACCTATTATTACCATCAGCAGGATTTTTTTTTCTGCTAACGAATTTATGTTTGCTTTTTTTGTGCAATAATAATAATCCAATAATAATAATCCATCCATCCATTTTCTGATCCGCTTTATCTCCACAAGGGTCGCAGGGCGTGCTGGAGCCTATCCCTACACTCTTCGGGCACCCTGAACACTTTGCCAGCCAATTGCAGGGCACACATAGATCTACAATCACACTTTGGGACAATTTAGAGTTTTCCCTGAACCTGCCTTGCATGTTTTTGGAATATGGGAGGAAACCGGAGTACCCGGAGAAACCCCACGCAGGCACGGGAAGAACATGCAAACTCCACACAGGAAGGCCGGAGCTGGAATCAAACACCAGACCTCTGCACTGTGAGGCGAACATGCTAACCAGTCACCCTCTGTGCCACCATGAAAATAATATTAATTAATAATAATAAGAAGAGGAAGACGAAGAAGATTTTTTCATCGAACAATTTTGACCATCAAAAATATGAAATATGCCACACTTAATCAGAATCAGAATCGCCTTTATTGTCATTGCATTACATACAACGAAATTTAGGTGCTACTCCTTAGTGCATTTAGTAAAAAAAATGAACTGCATTCAACTTCATTATTGGTATTTTTAATTGAATGTCATACTATCTTTCAAAACGTTTTTCGAGAAACCTCGGATTTTATTTTAATAGAGTATGCAATGAGTCGCAAAAGACCCCTGGCCTGACTTTAGATGCTCCTGCTAATTAAGTCTGCTGTTGCCGCACCCCCTTGACGGGTTTCCTTCTGGCGACAGAGGCCGGGCTCGGGTGGGATCCTAGTGAGGGAACTCACTAAGCCAAACACGAAGGCGGGCTCCGTGCCAAGCGCTCATCAACTGCATTTTTTGCGAGGGACGATTTGGTCCAGTGTGTTGTCACAGATGTCAGGCCAAACACAAACAAACACAAGCCGTCAGGCTCAAACTTCCAACCTTAACACAGTTGCACGCTTGTGCCCCTCAAATCAAGAGGATGTTCTCCTCTCCTCCCTTTTTAATTTTTGTAAACTGTCAAAAAATCTCATTTTGCACGAGAATGATTGAAAGTTTTATGGCTGCAATAAAATCGGGGAGCCCTACAGTGTATCTTGGTGATTTATATGGAAATGATTACCTCTTCTCTATTGCGTTCAGAGAGATTGTGGTTTTCCTCCAATGATTCAGATTTTGATGAGATATAATGATTCTTATCCGCAACTGAGGCACTGTCATCATTTTCAGATTCATAGTTTGGCTCTCGGTTAGTATCTTGTAGGTTGCCTAGAAGAAGAGAAAAAACATGGAATTAGAAAAAAAGTGCAGTGTATCATGCTAAATCGTTTTAGCAGTGATTTTTTTTTTTTTTTTTTGGAGAGAAGAATATCGCGAGAGGCTTCACCCCAACATGGCACTGGCTGGCGTCCCACCGGCAAGGAATTGATCCTGGAGGTATGGAGAAAGCCAGGAGGTGACACACACACACAAAAAAAAAAAAAAATCAGTGAAGCAAGATTGAGGACTAAATGGGTCAAAGTTGAACCATCTCTTCTGACATCTGTCTGTTCCTCTCCCATGTACAAAATTACGGCTGTTAGAAAACCGCAGTTGTTTGTTTGCATTGCAACTTGCACTTGCAGCCAACGCAAGTGACGGCACGCATGGTGGGATCACGAAATTACATCCCAGCGCAGTCATGCTGGTGGTCAGCGGAGACTTCAATTATGTTCCAACAACTTCACACCACATGGAGACGAGAGAGAATAAAACTTGCAACCCCCAACTGTGTGCCAAATGTCAATCTGAAAGCATCTCTTGTATATTTAGTTTTTTTCCTTCTTGGATATTTTTTGTATATTTTAGTTTGATTATCCATCCATCCATCATCTGAACCGCTTATTCTCACAAGGGTCGCGGAACGTGCTGGAGCCTATCCCAGCTGTCTTCTGGCAGTAGGCGGGGGACACCCTGAACCTCTTTCCAGCCAATCGCAGGGCACACAGAGATGAAACAACCATCCGCCGGACACCTAGGGACAATTTAGAGTGTTCCATTAACCTGCCATGCATGTTATTGGAATGTGGGAGGAAACCGGAGTACCCCGAGAAAACCCCCGCAGGCACAGGGAGAACATGCAAACTCCACACAGGAAGGCTGGAGCCGGAATCGAACTCTGCACCTCTACACTGTGAGGCGGACATGCTAACCAGTCAACCACCATGCCGCCACAGTTTTATTATTACTATTATTATTATTATTATTATTATTAAAAGACATTGTGTTTTATGTTTAAAGTTATGTACAGCACTTTATCAGAGCTGCGGTTTTTAGTGCAGATTTAACGTGAATACACTCGACCACTGGTTTCAAATTCAAGGCGCAGAGGCCAGATCCAGCCCACCACACCGTGTTATATGGCCTGCAAAAGGAAATCATGTGTGTCACCTTCCATGACCCTCGCTAAAATCAGGGGAAAATTTAACTGTCACCTCATAATAACATTGAGATTTTTTTGGGGGGGTTACCCTTTGTTACAGTAACTTAATGATTCAATAAGCTCATATCCTTGACATCTGATTTGAAAACCAGTCATTAGAAGTAATTAAAACCAGCACTCAGGACAAACCCTGATTAGAAATAGTGAGTGCAATTAGCTGCTATATATACAGATACAGTATACGCACTTAAAACATTTATAGAAAGCCGGGTCGAGTCCCCTTAGTATGCCACAGGACAATGAGATGCCCTCTTTGCGCTGGAGTTATTAATCAGCTCCTCATTATCGAGCTGTGATGGGCACACGGATGTAAATGTACACACGCGCGTGTGCATGCTCTTACATGCGCACACGTACACAAAAATGCATGTGCACACACACATACACATGCAGGATTAAAAAGAGCTCTGTTTGAGGTATCTCCCCACGCGCCACCATTCCACACAAACCATTAGTCAGTGTTAAGGGAGTTGGAGGCCAGAGGTAAACAAGTACATCTCGAGTAAAGTAAAAGTACTTTTCAAGTGTGTTTACCCTTGGCCACTGTGTTAAAAAACGTCAACTACTTCACGCAGCGGCCTCATGAATCTATGCATGGCAATATGCAGCCGGCAAGCGCGTCCTAATTAGAATTTCATATTTACCATTTTAGCATCCGATTATTAAATGCGGCAGGTGTGGCCAGAAAATGCAGGATAGTGCACCACCTGCTGGGGGTGCTGATTGAAAACGTTACAGGGATGTGCGGTCAGGACAGGAAGGTGAGGCAGAGCCTCCCTGTCCCCTCCGCTGCATGTGAAGAGTTAAAAAGTAAAATTAAATAAAAGAATGATTGTAACATGAAATGATTTTCCATTTTAGTGATCTGGTCCGTGCTTTACATTGATTTTCTTTTTCAATTCAATAATGTGATTAATTTCTTCATTGAAATTAACAAAATAGCTGAATTTGCATATTCCCTGTGCAAATACATGGGCGAGTGGGGAACAGAGGCATCGCATTTTCAATGCTTCCAGCAACTACACACACTTCGCAGCAGTTGGCGGGAGCACCCATGCTAGAGAAATTGCTTCTTCGCTTTTAAATCGCTAACACGTGTGTCTCATCACACCAGTACTACACAAGCTGACATTCAATAGCCTGTCTAATAAATTTAATTAATGTGCGTGACAAATTTTGCCTTTCTGATCAGACATATGTTGAGTCAAAGTGCGCGGTGGAGTCCAGAAAGTACCTTGCCGCAGCCAGCATGTGGCAGCGCTGTGCTCCACTGATGCAATGCTCGCAGAAGTGCGGCGAAAAACATGCACAACTCCAAAATGTATTCATTCTCACGTTCCAGTCCCATGACAAATTGATTTTCTGATTCCCGCAGCTCCTCATCTCCCATGATGATGCTATGTAATTCACACACACACACACACACACACACACACACACACACACACACACGTACACACGCACACACGCACACACACACACACACATATGCACACACACATTCATTCATACATATATATACACACACACACACGCACACACACACACACACACACACACACACATATATATATGTATACAGTATATATATCCTTATATAAACATAGGTATTCATTCATTCACTTCTAAATATTTGTATTTAATTATCAGCATTTGTATTTCACTTTCTTGTTTTGTTTTTTTGTGGGTGTTTTTTTTTCTTTCTTTAGGAAAGCAGTGTGGTGAGGCAGCACCCGAGCACATTCTATTGAGCGGCCACCACTGCACAAAAGCTTTTTAGCTGGATGAACCCACAGGTGCTGCATCTCTGCTGCCCCACGCAGGACAAATGCCGCCAGTGCTGGAGGAAGCCTCGTCCTCTATCAATGTCTGTTAGACTCCCACGAGTGGCTGTCCACTGAGTGCCCTTCTCAGTCGCTCTCAGCAGGACTGATAACAGCCACTGGACTCCAGCTGCTTCTCCACGCAACAACACACGCAGAGACACACAATCATACGGGCGCATGCACGGACACAAAATAGAGGCATGCAGTTCATGGCTGAGAGAGTGAGATTTCCATATTTATGAGCCAAACGGAGTGTCATATTTGCCATTAGATTACCAGCTTGACATTTAAAACTGCAAAACTGGTATCAGGCCAGAACCTGATTTTTGAAGCAGATCTTTAATTTCTTCCTTCATTAATTAGATCCTCTTTTGGTTGGTCGTCCAATCTCTGTAATTTTTTCACTTCAATTTTGGGCTTTTTTTGGAGCAAATTTTGCAGCTATGCAAGGAAGGCGGATGACAGCAACTTGAACATGGGTGCTCTGTACGGCCATGAAAGTGAGGCAAAGGAATGTGCGCCTCACCTTGTGCTTTTATTTATTTATTTTATTTATCTGCAATTTTATGTAATCCGCAAAACAAAATGCAGTATGGAATCCAAGGAGTGAGAGAGAGAGAGAGAGAGAGAGAGAGAGAGAGAGACACATATACACACACACACACACACACACGCACACACACACACACACACACACACACACACACACACACGCGCACACACATCCGTTATACACATCCTTTTAGTAATGTTGTTGAATTAGTCATGCGGTATAATCGCCCTTTGACAAAAAAAAAAGTAGCAAAGAAGTCAAAGAAAATCACTTTTAAAAATAATATTATTTAATAATATTACACATTTGAAATCCCAAAATGCGTGACTTTTCTGGCTTTCTGGGCTGGAGCTCAGTGTTTTCTGGTATTTTCTAAATGTGCATCAACAAGAAGTCATGCCACTTTCTTGCCGTGCTCCTGACTTTGTTGTCCTTTCTGGTGAGAATGATTTTTCTTTTCATACGTCTTCATACATCCATGGTCACTAATTTGCTGCCCTTGAATGGTGCATTAGTGCACCTCCTAGTACATTACAGCTCTCAACCGTCACTCAGCGTGACAGCGTGTCCATTGAGGGCTTTTAACGACGAAACCCCACAACTTCTCCTGTCTCCCATCCACTTAAAACATGAAAGCATGGAATGTACTAACAGTCTCGCCCACCCTGCCGCAACAAAATGCAATTAGATTTGGAAAAGGGAATCAAAGTGGTCCATTCCAGGAAAGGCTCCACTACTGAAGTCGCACGGTTTTGATGCTCGGGTGCTTCGTGCAACTTTCATGAGGCGATTGTCTCGCAGCAGGTGGAAATGGAAATGAGAGTGGTTGAAATGAGATAGTATAGCAGGAAAAAAAATACTCTACGAGGACGGGGACTGAGCTTGAAAATTGATGTCTGCGCAACAGTTTTATAATTGCCTAAAGATGCCACGAGATGGTGGCAAAGCAGACAAAACGATGGTCTGACTCAATAAAACTCCTCCTGTCAGTTTAATATCGTTGCTTCTCACCAAGATGCCACCCTTAGAAGAAAGCAATTATCACTCTAGTATTATCCTTCAATTTTAAAAAGTACAGTATTGTCATACTGGTATTTAAATTTAATGTAAAGGGTTAAACAGTTTGTGGTTCACCATTCCTTCATCGTGTTGCTCTTTCCGGTGAGCATGCCTCGGCCACTGGGGTTACCTCGACATAAATGACAAATGGTAAATGGAGTGCACTGATATTGCACCTTATAAAGGTATAAATAATGACGATGGTCAAAACTGTTCAATAAGCAACAGTCATATTATTGTCATTATTATTATTTATTTGTATTTTTTTTTTGCAATGGATGAAGAATATATGCCTGTAAGCATTGTTATACAGTATTGTCTGTCTACCAGGGGTCTAAATGAACTTTTT